TGATGATGTGGACAAAAAACACATATTCAAGGTGAGGATTAGGAGCTCAGTTTTAAATTTAACCTAATTCATTTAAGGTCTGAGTTTATTTCTGGATGGCTTCCTGGCTGAGAAAAGTTCCCTCAAAACAAACTTAAAAATAAGAATCCCATCTAAAATGGCACTCGACAACACTGTAATGAGCTAACTGTAAGCGAGTTAGAAACATTCAAATGGAATTTACTCTAAAACAGACCTTGGGGAACAACCTAAGTGCCCACTGATGGATGAATAGATAAAGAAAATGTGAGATATATTTGTAATGGGATATTATTCAGCTATAAAAAATGAAGGAGTCTTTCCATTTGCAATATAACATGGATGAAACTTGAGGACATTATGCTAAGTGAAATTAGTCAGACAGAGAAAGACAAATACTGTATGATTTCACTTATATGTGAAATCTAAAAAAAAACTGGACTCAAAGAAACAGAAAACAGATTTGTGGTTACTAGAGGTGGGTGTAGGGTATGGGGGATATGTGTGAAGGTGGTCAAAAGGTACAAACTTCCAGTTAATAAGTAAGTTCTGGGGAGTTAGGCACAGCATGGTAACTATAGTTAACAAAACTGTACTGTATATTTGAAAGTTACTAAGACAATAAATCTTAAAAGATCTCATTATAAGAAAAAAAATTATAACTGTGTGAGGTAATGGATGTTAACTTACTGTGATGACCATTTCACAATATACACATATACCAAGTCATTATGTTGTGTACATTTAAGTTATAGAATGTTATATGTCAATTATATCTCAGTACAACTGGAAAAATAAGTAAATAGATCTGTGTGTTAAAATAAGGTATTGCTGGCAATTGGATTCTCCTGGTGCCCACCAAACGCAGGACTGGCCCTATAAAATGTACTGTGACTTAAAGCAAATAAACTGTCAAAACAAAAAGCATCAAGGGTCAGTGTGGAGACAAAGCCCTGAACACCTGACATAAAGGGACAACAAAGCAATATGGAAAAACTTGATTTCTTTTTCTGAAACAAAAAAATCTGCCATTGAATAGAAGAATCCCTATTTGAAACAGTTTACTATAAATATATGTAGTTTACAAAGCTATAGGTATAGATACTCACAAAGCTAAAGCTATAGGGATTATAAAGCAAAGGTATGGTTCAATGCATAACTCATAAAAGCAAAATTTTGGAAGTCGGTACACAGGTGAAGCTCTCATTTTGACATAACATTCTAAGTGCTTCAGATAGCATTAACTTTATTAATCTTTAAGATAGATTTCTTAATCTACCCTTGGGGGTAGATGTTATCATTATTCCCACTTCATAATAGGGGAAACTGAGGTGAGGAGAGGTTAAGCAACTTGTTTATGGTCACCTGGCCAGTGTAAAGCAGATGCAGGATTTGAAGCAAGGGACTTGGGTTCCACAGACCATGTGCTAATCACTTTGATATATGGTCTTTCATTAAAGGGCTCCAGCGAATACATAAAAACTATTGGTATAATAGAAGGAGAAAAATGTTTTCTATTATAGCTGATCTCTTTTTTTTGCCTAAAAGCAGCAAATGCGATATTCTTCGCAGTTGGTGATGATGAAGTCCATGTAACAGTGAACCTGAGAGCAGAACGAGTAAAGTAGGTCCCAGGAAATGGAAAATAGACCAGGCATGACAAGAGTTCCTTAGAATTCTTCACAGGTGACCAATAGTTAAAAAGTATTTGAAAAGCTCCCTAGCAAAGGGGAGATATAGAACAAATAATTTTCTTTTGAAAAGTGTATTGATAAAACATACAATGTAAGAACTCAAACACACTCATCTGAGCAAATGCCTCTATTCACAGTTTTCACTACCTTTTTAAAATTTTCAGTTTGTAAAAGTTTCTTTTGTGATATAATAGTGTTCTTAGGTATTTTTTGTTTTCTAATCATTCTTTTTTGAAACATGATACACTTTTGTCATAACTGGATTTGTAGACCCTTCTTGCTAAGTACACATCTTGTTTTTTTTTATACGCATGTGTGCGTGTGTGTGCACATACACACACATCTCCCATACCCTATATGGTCAGCACACCCTTATCAAGTATTCTTTCTCCTTTTGGTTCCAGAGAAGTGTCTTCATGTCCCAGATTTTTTTTTGTTTTAACTAAAACTATGTACTGCCCTCTCCAGATCTTCACTTCATAATTTTTAGGTTTCTTGATTCTTTCATTCCTTTGGCCCCAGAGACTGATGTCCTCAGCAGATTCTGAAGGACCCCTAAATCTCCCTTTTGTAAGAATCTTCTCTCTTATATTGGCCTATCTCTAACATGGAAATGACAACTGATTCATAAAACTTGATTGTTAAACTTAGTCAGGAAGAGCTGACAATCTTCAAAGAGATTATTGTTAAGAGTCTTTGAGTCTGGCTCAACTTCCAGTATGTCTGGCATTCTAGGTAGGAGACAGGTGCAAGGCAGAGGAGTGTAGTTGATAAGGTTTTCATCTGTGATGGGCACTTGGCACACTGCAGAACAAGTCTCTGATCCTTGTTTTTTCTTTATCCTCTCCTTCTCCCACACAAGCATCATTCAGTTTAGTAGCACTAAATATTTAGTTGCTATATCTAAATTTAATGTGATTTAAAATTTCAATTTGAACACAATCAGTATTTGGGATCAAATAGATAACTGGATATTCAAACATCAACTAACTAAACATATCTTTGGAAGGAAGTGATGAATGGTACATAGAATAACTCTTGGAAGTAAGGGGTGCTATTCAGTCTAGTTAACAACTGGCATGACATTGGGCACACCCCATTAGAAGTAGCTTTTGCAGTGTTAGAGGTTAAGCCTTAAACCTTTAGTTGCCAGATTGTGGAAAAGTGGGTGGGTCCTAGGAGAGTGGCTAGGTCAGGGGCAGTAGATTTGGGGGAGCTCAGGGCAGAAAACTTTTATCAACCAGTTCAGATGTATTTCAGCAACCTTTATAGCCACACCCAGGGACTCCCCCTGAGTACTGGCCTGCAGTGAGTGAGGTTCACTGTGCTCTGAGTGTAATAGTTTGGACCTGTCTCTGTGGAACAGTCCATGTTTAACATGAAGAAGAAAAGCTAACTTGCATGAAAAATCATGTTGCAATTCTTTCTTAGTTTATTAGATTACAGTCTCCAACAGTTTCTCAACCTTATCAGGGCTCTCATGCATTCCTCAAAACAGTGTGATCTCCAAGTCTGTCTAATGAATTTGAACCCTCTGCTCCCCACTTTGGACTGTATTTGGAATTATAAAATGGCAGAGAAGTGGGACATACACCTACTGTGCTGAGGGATTCACTTTGGCAGCTGTTGATATTGTGGACTCTTGATGACGTTCAGGCGGCTTTTCTGTTGTGGCACAGGCTGCTCCCTTGCTACAATACCCTCTGAGGTAAAGGGGCACACTACACCCGCCCCCAAGGGCCCATGCAGAGCTCTAGCTCTTTCCTGGGAAGGCACTCTGCTTCTGTTTCCAATGCAGGGATGTCAGATTCCAAGGCAGGTTCCCCAGGGCATGCCAAGAGCCTTCAGGCTAGCACTTTTTAATCTTTTTTTATGCCAAAGGGCCCCTTTGGCAGGCTGCTGAAGACCACAGGGTTCCTTTTCAGAGCAAGGTTTTTAAATGGGTAAAATAAAACACATGGAATTACGAAGGACATCAATTACAATGAAATACAATTAACACAATGTTAAAATTGTGCTATGGCAATATATATACTTTTTAATTGTTATATTAGGTAACAAAATCTAGTGAGGGTCTATCTAATAACTACTGTAACAAGTTATCTGCAACAACTGTGATGTAAAAACCTGTGGGTTCTACTGGAGACTGTCATAGATACCATCCTTCTGCCTCTGTGGAGTGTAACCTATGTTCATAACAGAAGGAAATGCTAAATGCCAGCTGGAAGTTAAGTGAAAATAAAAATTTTATTTTTTCGTTATCCAAATTTCAGACTAACCCTGCATTCTCTCACTCTTGGTTAAGAACTCCAGGGGTCACACCTCACTGGAGGCCCCGCCCTGTGGTCTGGAGACAAGAGTGTTTAGGCCACCCACACAGCTCAGAGCTGCCTCTCGCTGGGAAGCTCTCCTTCCAGCGACTCCTGGGAATTTGAGGGTGGGAAAGAAGGGCTCCTGAGCTCGTGGGTGCCATTAAACAATCCTTTCTTGACTTTTGAGGGTCTTCTTGGTCTCAAAGTGCCTGGAAACCAAGGTTTTAAATTGCTGGAACCACTGTGACCTCTCGGGCGGGCTCTCCTTTTTACCTGGGCACTGATTTCTGGGTGTCCTGGGGCAGGGCTGTCTCGGTTTTCTCATCTGCAAAAAGAAAATACCCACCTCATCGACTTGTTAGGAAGATTAAATAATAACTCTGAGATAAATTGTACAGCACTATCAAAATCTGTGCTGTTCTCATTTTTGACGATTAGATCTTTGAGGGCTGAGAACAATTTATGCAGACCCATTCCGTAACTTTCTGGCGAGAGTTACCGCTCCACAAACATTTGTGGAATGAATGAATGAAGCCTGCATTTGCGCGTGAGCCTCTGTCTGTGAGAACACGCTTCTGAGGACATCCGGGGCCATATCCAGCACTTTACTGACAGGTAGTTAAACGCCTTTCTGGCTCTGTGCCGACCGGCAAGCACAAGCCAAGGGCTTCTTTCCCGGAGGACCCCCGGGATGGGGCTGCCGGGCCGGGAGCTCGCCCGCCGGTCCCCCGCGCCGCGGCTTCCGGGCCAGGTAAGCAGCGGCGGGAGGGCTGCGCCCGCTGGGGAGGGGCAGCGCCGGGACGCACCGTTTGCCCGGCCGGCCGGCGGGCGCGCGAGGAGGGGCCAGAGGCCTGGGGCGGGGCGGGGCAGGCGTCCTCGTCACTTGATAAAACGCCTGCGAGTCTCCAGAGAACAACGGGCTCATTCAGCGGCAGGGAGCTGCCCGCGAGGGGGAGCGGCCGGGCGGAGAGCGCGACTCTTCCCGGGGGTGGGTGGGGTCGGGCGCGGTGGCGAGAGGACCCGAAGGTGGCCGCAGCAGCAGCCGCGCCGCAGCCTCGAAGCCGGCCCGGAGCGCAGGGCGGTCGCCGCAACTCCCGGCTCCCCTCCCCGTGCGCCCGTCCATGGCGGCCGCGGGGCAGCTCTGGCTGCTCTACCTGTCCGCTGGGCTCCTGCCTCGGCTCGGCGCCGCCTTCAACCTGGACACCCGCTCGGACAATGTGATCCGGAAAACGGGGGAGCGCCAGAGCCTCTTCGGCTTCTCGCTGGCTATGCACCGGCAGCTGCAGCCCGAGGACAAGCGGCTGTGAGTTCCCCGACTCTGCCCGCCCCCACCGGGGCGCCGGCCCGCGCGCGAGGAGGGGCGAGCGCGCGCCGCGTTCCCGCCCGCAGCCCCACCGCTGCCGCCGCCCCCCACCGGCTCCGCCGGGCTCGCCGCCCCGCGCTCAGGCTCCCCGCGCGCCGCCGCGCCTGCCCTCCTGCGGCACGGGGACGAGGACCGCGGGGCCGACCCCTGTGGACGGCGGCCAGGCTGCCAGGCGGGGCTGTTCCCGGGCTCGAGAGAGTTTACTTTTTTCCTTTTTTAAAACAAAATGCTTTCCGGCCGCCCTTCCCTCAGGGCGTGTTTGCTGGGAACCCGGCAGGTGGCTCGCTTTGCTGAGCTTCAAGTGTTTGGGGCGGGGGTGACGTGGGGGTGTATGTAGGTGGTTCTGTCGTCGCTGTGGGGTTGCTGGGAGCGTTCAGGAAGATCCAGGCCTCCCCCGACCTCACGGAGCACCCAGTCCCCTCGCAGACCCGCGCGCCCCCGGAAGTTGGAAAACCATTTACCCCGCGGCCTGCGTGGCTTTCCTCGCTGGGCGGACGCTCCTGTACGAGATACTTTAGCCACAGCCCCCCACCCACCTTTTTTTTTTTTAAGTTGGAACTAAGTAAGCACCTGTTCACAGGGCTAGATCAGCTGAGAAAACAAGGCCGTCAGAGTGTTGTGCCCAAGCCGCAAAGCGCCCGGAGGCACCCGAAGACCCTCTGGGCACCTTGCATTGGGCAGACGCTCCTCGGCGTTAAAGCAACATGTCCGATCTGGGCTAGGGCTTTGCAGACAAGGTTTGAAGTGACAACCCCCCACTTTAGCATAGCGGTGGTCCTCCCAGGAGAAAGTGGAGACCGGCACTCTTATCTCTTTTTCTTTCTTAGTGTTTGGTTCCCACATAATCAAACCATTTGGACTAGAAGAGGGTATTTGAGAGCTTAGTGGCCTTAATCGCAGTGGGGGCCGCATTCTTGATCTGTGCTGCTGAAAAATAAACTCACAAAAGGCTCCCAACCCCCCAAGGCCTTCAGTTGAACCGGGTTCCTTCCAGGACCAACAGACTGGAGAAAGCAAAGTGCAGCCACAGGAAAGAGGACTTTGTGTTTGAGACGAGAGTGGGATTTTAGAGCTGGAGAAGAGAGACCACTTGATTTCAGCAATTAAAGGACTTTGGAGTTGGTGAATAGTGTGGGTCTCTGAATCTTAGATTTTTCTGATAATACATGCAAGTGAAGCAAAGAAATTAGCCAGGGATGGGGAGGCTGAGGGTGGTGGTCTTCAGGCCTAGCCAGCTGCTTATACTCTGCTTTCTTTCAGTAGAAATAATTGTTGAGCTGTAAATCTGAAGTGAAAGGTGGTTTCTGTTAACTCAGTTAATGGATGACATTTAGTGCCTGAATACTTAAGAGTGTGAATGTGTGTCCACCCATATGGAGAATTTGAACCTGTTAGTGCAGAAATGACTGTGGGCCAGCAGAGGGAATGGAATTGTCTTTTCACCATCCTACTGAAGCTGCTGGCTTTCTTGAAATACTTGCTTTACAAACATTGTGAAGGGCGAGAAATGAAGACTTATGAACTGTGACTTGAGCTAGGAGTCTGTTGTCACTAAACAGCATGCTTGCTAAAGCTTGGTCCTGCTGGTGGGCTTCTCTGCTGTTAGACATGCTGCAAGTCTTCCTGAGGCTAAGAATAAGCCTGTGATTGGGTCTGTTGCTTTCTAGACACACTTCCTTAGGGACAGACAGGGATGTGTGGCTGATCAGACCCTCAGATGGGGAGAGGCCCACCTTAGGGGGACTGTATCTTTCCTTGTAGCTTATAGTGTGGCAGTAACTGTATTCCAGGGGGTTGTGGTTGACGCCCAAGGCTGTCCTCCCAGTTTGGTGTATTCTGGCTTCAGGAGCTGCATTGGTCCTCCCAGAACTAGCACACACAGGCCACATACCACATCAGTTGTCAACTTTTTCTTTAAAGGATGTGTGTATAAAAAACAGCCAGTGACATCGAGACTCCCCAACTTCTGGTTCAGCTTCCTGAAGTCTGCACTTTGTAGAAAAGCTCAGTTGAAGTATTTCAGGGAATTGGTGAGAGACCAAATTCCTAAGCTCAAATTACTTTTTGGCAATTTAGCAGTTGTTAATTTACTTTGAGCCTTAGTTTATCTGTAAAATGAAGATACTGCTGCTTATAGGGTGGTTCCAGGGATTAAGACAGAATGTGTAAAGTGCTTAATTCCTGCCTGGCTGGGTACTTGCTGACTGCATAGTAGCTGTAGAAGCAATACTTGAATTCCTACTTAGTACCAGCTGCTGTACAGGCATTAAACATTCTGTGATTCTGATTGCCACAGAGGAAAGCCAAAGGTTATTGTAGTTTGGGTAATTGATATTTTCAACTATTATTCACATTTGTGAAACTCATGTGCAGAGCAATTTAACTTTAATTAGTTTTAATTAGACATAACAAAAGTAAATTTACTGAACAAGGGACTTATTGAAGTAGAAGCAAATTATCAAAGATGTGTGGGAATATCAAATGAATGTGCTATGACAGAATTGTCAGATTTTTGTGGGTTAAATTTTCTGAAATTTATTTAAATAATAAGTAGTTACTGCCACATTCTATTTAACACTATTTAAATATTTAGAAACATCTTAAGCTCTAGTTTAAGGTTTTATAACAAAAATATTGTATCTGAGAGCCTTAAAACATGTTGGGTGTTCCTAAAACTTTGGGTCTATAAAACTGAATTAGAGACTGTAAAACTGCACTCAGGGTTTTTAGGCTGTGTATTAAGGAAGTCTGACTCCAAGCTGATTAGGTAGTTGGCTGAGCTGCAGATGTCAGGGTGAGAGCTCCTTGCACTCTTGCATTTCTCTTAGGCAGTAAAGATTGAGTCACCTCCCCTCCCTGCCAGGTAGATAGTATGGGATGATGTCTGTGGGTATGTCCATCCTATGAGTCATCACTCTTAGCTCTTCTGGGAAGAGACAGATTTATATATGACTACAGGGAAGAACATGGAAGAGATCTCTAAGTGATATTCTCATGGAGCAATTCCAGATTTCTCCCAGTCTCCATTACCTTCTTCTGGGGAACTTTCTGATCATCATTGTCTTGTAGAGGTTCTCTAGGCCCACTTTCACTTCTGTTCTGACTCTGTGATGTTTGCTCTTGATTTTTTTATGATTTGTGATGCTCCTGCTTTTTAAAGTCATATTTATTGAACTAGAGATCATCTAGTCCAACTGGGCTTCCTTTATGGATGAAGAAACTGAAGCAGAAAGTTAGGAAATGTCTAAAGTCTCACAACTGTTTCAGCAGAATCTTACCAGAATCTGGATTTGAATTTGCTCTTTCTGACTTGTGCTCATGCCATTTCTAAAAGGGAAAGTCAGACATGCCCTTCATACCTGGAGAAATTGGCCAGCATCTGAGTTTTGGAAATGTATTATATTATGTTGATTTATTACACTATTTCCCATGTGAGTCAGGGCTCTATTTAAACATCTGCTCCTGGACCTTCTTCCTGCTGACCCTTATTCCAGCTGGCCGTGGGTCAGCTTCTGGGTCCTTCTTTCTTTGCCTCACTCCCTCCCCTTCTGGAAAGCCCAGTGAGGGGTGACTGGAACCAGCCCAGGAGCAGAGCTGTGTCCAAGATGTGTATGCACCTAAGCACTTGCTTCCTTGTCTTCAGAGTGCCGTGTGGCCTAGGGCCATCGTCCAGGGACTGTGCTCAGTCACCTTGAGTTCTGAGACTGTAGAATAAGCTAAAATGGGCAGAGAAATTTAGAGGAACTCTTGGGACTCTGACTCTGCAAGAAAGCGGAAATAGATAAATTTAATTTTAACACAGGCTCTTGTAAGACCATCCAAGTAATGACTGAGGGTTGAAAAAAAGGTCAGAGTATTAGTATGATAAGAATAATTTGTTGGGAAAAATCAGGTTAAATGCTCATATAGTAAAATTCTCTGTGACTGTAAGGGAGCAGTTACTCTGTGTGCTTAGTTTTGTATACTACTCTGTTTTAGCATAACAATGAGATTAAGATTTAATTTAAGCTTTAGTAACCAAAAGAGTACAGGAACTATGGCACATGGTTCTCTAGGACCTTGGTTCAGCATATCGCTGTAGACAGAGTTGGCTAGTGAATTATTTGGCGTTTTCAAGAGGAATAGTGGAAATACAATAGAGAATACTGTTGTTAGCTTAGATGATGGGGTCAGTTTTACTTGGAACACCGATGGTCTCCAAGTAAGCCTGTTTTGAGAAAGGACATAATCATATCTCAAGAATCAGTTTAAATTTCTCCATGAAAGCCTTTTGAGCCCAACCTACACCACAGCAACTTCTTCCTTTGAACGTCTGTAGCATTTAGTATCATGTGTCTGACTGTCTAATGGTTTTGTGTTTAACTGTTACCTACAATTTTTGGATGAGTCAGTCTCTCCCAACTGAATTATAGGTTATGTGAGGGCAGGGGTTGTATGTTCATTTCTTTGCCCTGATAGCACCTAGCATATGTCTTGCAAATACAATGGAGTCATGCCATACACTCAATTTAACTTGTCAAATCAACTCTTCCAGCTCAGGGTCGAGAGGGGGGAAACCCCTTTATTAAGACTTTGCCCTGAACTGCCGAGTAGCCCTTGATGTCTGCTGCCCCCAGGGAAAGGGAAGCTATAGCTGAAACATCTAAAACATTAATTCTTGGTTTCTGAGTTTTCAAGAGCCCAGGTTCCAGCTAATGGATTTTCATGAGTGATTTTTAATTACACTTGACTTTTGCCTTAAAGGCAGACTTAGAGCTTAACCCCAGAAATACTGGCTGACCTGCACTGCGGTAGGTACTCAGGATTCGTTGGTTGTTAATAATGAGACTAGATTGAGGATGGCTATAGAATATGATTCTGAGAGCAACTTTACCAGGGCATGGGGGTCAGAAGGGAGTAAGCATGTGAGGACACTTGTGAATTGATTGCTAAGGCTTTAG